CTCTGAATTCCCAAGGTCCTCCCCATCAATGACAGCCTGTCCTCACATTGAGGTCCCACTCACCAGGTCCTCAACATAAGGTGCAATGCATGGTGCTCTCCCAAACATTGATTTAGCACCTACCTAAGTCCTGAACTCGGGAGACTTGGCAATGAAAGAGACAAACTGTCTACCTGTGAGATGGTCACGGCCTAATGGGTAGGAGTGCTGTTAAAATAAATCATAAAAATATGATGTCATATTGAGGTGTGGACTGGATCTACTTAGAACTGAGACATCTAGCTTTGCCAAAACCCACCACTGTGGACCCAGTCTGTAACTTAGCACTCTGCTCCTTAATAGCAAGAAACACACAGCTTAGTACAGCTCAAAAGACAGTACTGACCAGCTGGGAAGAAGGGCAATATTGGTAAACAAACTAATAACTTCTAACCTCAGGTCTGGGTCATATCTGGCCAGAGTCAGTGTCTGGTAGAGTCCAGAGCATCAAGTAGGTCCCCTGGGCATGAGAGGGTACCCACAGACATGGGCCGCAAAAGGGAAAAGGGGTCTAAATAAATGTCCTGGATGCTTGGCCAGGACTGCTTCCTGGAAACACTCAGATGTTCTGTCACTGCCCGGTAATCTCTCACTTCCCAGCTGTTCGCTCCACTCTCCTCCCAACCTCTGCACTCACAGATCTCCTCCTTTCTAAAGGAATGCTTATTAGTTTTTAACAACTGGGCCAGGTTCAATAAGACCTCAAGTATCCAGCAACATCTTCCATCTGAACCAGAGTCAAGAATTCAGAAGAAAATTTACAAGTTCCTCCAGCGAGCCCACACAAACCCCCAAGATCACAAGATTCACTGGAATGTCTCTTAGGACCACACACAGCAAAACTGAATTGGAATCATCACAATTCTTGGATCTTGTCTTACCATCATACTCAAAATGCTTTGTGTTTATTTAGTTAGTTAATTGGCTACAGTGTTATAAGAGCCTCTTAACCCATTACATAATACGAAAGCTAGGATATTGTAGTGTCACATGACATCACATGAAGCCAATCACCTTCACCATCCATTTGCCCTTTCCTGGTTCCTTCATCCTGTATATTACTTTTAACTTTACATAAACACTTCTCTATATAATTTTGGGAAATTGCTTCCTCCCTTAGCATTACTGTGCAGAGACACACCTGTATTGAAGTGTGGTGGTGACTTTCCTCCATTTGGACAACTGTACAACACTGCACTGTGTGGCTGTGCAGGTGCCTTCCCCACCTCTCTTGGTGACACACATGTACGTATCTAGGTCTCTGCTACTGCAATGACGGCTACAGTGAAAGTCCTTTGTGCTTCTCCCTTGTTGAAAACATACACAAGTCCTGCTATGCTATTCCCAGCTTTGCTAACACCTAGCACTGGGGTCATTTTTCTCTGAAATTCTGATGCGTGTTTATTTGCGTCTCATGATGATTTCCATTTCTCTGGTTACTATGAGATTGAGAATCTTTGAGTCCTTAAGTAATTTGATATCTTTCTTGAAGATGCTCCTGATTAAATTCTGATTCATTTTCCTAATAGATTGCTTCTCTTTTTCTTATGGATTTGTAGTTCTTTATCTATTTTGGATAAGTCCTTGTTGAATATAGGTACTGCAACTAACTGTGTCTTGCCTTTTTTTCCAGGGCTGGGGCTCAAACCTTGGGGCCCTCCACCACTGAGCTACATCTCCAGGCCCCTTTTTTATTTGAGACAGGGTCTTGCCAAATCTCCCAGGCAGGATTCATGTTTATTATCTTCCTGTCTCAGCCTCCCAGATTGCTGGATGACAGGATTCTTTTAATGGTATCGTTAAATGAGCAAAATGTATTTGTTTCAAAAAGAGTGCCACTATGCATAGAAGTGGAATAGTTGGTTCTAGCTCACTTGAGAACTTGATTATTCCAAAGGGCAGCTAGACATAGCCAAGCATGAAAGAGAGGGATTAGGAAAAAAAAAAAAAAAAAAGAAAAAACCTAAAAGCCTAATTTTCAAGGCACATTCAGCACAGGGACAATATTGCTTTATGTGGTTCAACAGCTACAGAGGACCTAGTGGCCTCTCTCTCTCTCTCTCTCTCTCTCCCCTGAACTGTATTTTACAAAGGTTTCCCATACAAACAGTTGCATTTTTTTCTGTTGTTACACAGAGGACTGTGGATCAGTCACTGAAAAATTCTCTTTCATCAAACAGATCATTTCCCAAAAGGACCAGAGAGGGGAGGCTTTGCAACCATGGGTGCCATCCCAGGAAAATGGAGATGAGCCCTGGATTAGCACCTCGCAGAAAGGCTGTGGATGTTGCACAAGTCAAAACACTCTAGAAGCCAGGCATGCTAATCATGCCCACTATCCCAGTACTTCTGGGGCAGAAGGACTGCAAGTTCAAGCCCAGGCCAGGCAACTTAGCAACATAAAGAGATACTGACTCAAAATAAAAAAGGGCTGGAGATGCAGATCAGTGCAAAGGCCTTGGGATCAACCCTCAGTACAGCCAAAAAAAATTTTTTTAGATATTAAGAATTAATTACTGAAATTTTTACTACAGTATCTAAATCACTGCCTTGCACACCACAGGCACTTGAGTGCAGTACCTCATCATTTATCTGCAAGTGGTTTAGCTTTTGTCTTTGAATCCACTAAGACTGAAGAAGGAAAGAAGAAGTACTGGGGACAACAAAAGTAGATGTCTCTTTTACCAAAGAGGAGGCGCAGATGACAAATAAGCACGAGAAAGGATGTCCAATATCATTAGCCATTGGGGAAATGCAAATTCGTACCAGTAAGACATTGCAACACACCTATAATGGAGAAAATAACAAATAGTGATGACACCAAGACTGGAGAGGGATGGTAGGTCTTTCACACACTGGTGTGTGTAAAACAGTACAAACCCTCTGGATCAGGGTACGGCATTTGCCCACACACTTCATTCAACATGCGCTTACCATTCAGCCTAGCAACGTTGCTCTTGAGAATGGATAGCAGAGACGTGAAAGTAAGTCTGCACAAAGCCTGTCCGTGAATATTATATCAGCTCAATTTATGAGAACTCAAAATGGGAAATAACCCAAATATCTTTCTGCATGCAAATAGTTGAACCATGATGCATTCACAACATGGAATGCAAAGTCAGTCACCAAAAGGAATGTGAAGTTACTATAGCAGAGGTTTAGGCTATTCTCAAAGAAGAGCATCTTAAGAGATTTGTTAAAGGAAGTCAAAGTAGCTGGCAGGCATTAAAACCATCCTTTCCTAGAATGCTTTGAAAATACGATAGATGCTTAGTTCTATGATTGTTAGTTATGAGCCTGTGAAGTGATCGTGACTATGGTAGGATCAGCAGCCACAGGAAAAGGCTGTGGCTTAGCACCCATCCTGCCTGACCTGATGGCCTGCTGGGCATGACAGCAAACCAGTCAAGTCCAGTCTAGGATGAAGTGTCCAGTGATGGGGGAAGGTTGGAAATCTGCAAGAGCATAAAGATGAGCATCTCACCACACGGAGGAGGGGGCCACAAGCCAGGTTTCTGCACCCCGTTAAGGAAGAGGGAAGCAGGGAGATACAAAGAGAGACTGGAAGCTTCCACAGCAGAGGAAGCAGCGTGTGCAAAGCCCAGCTGGTCCATGGAGGATCGGAGGGGACTGAAGGCTGGGAGGGCAGGAAGAGCCGAGGCCGGGCCTTGGGGAGGAGGATGGTGAGTAGGAGCGAGCCTAGGAAAGGGCCTATCCTGGGGCCTGGAGGGTGAGGGCTTGGCAGGAAGCAGAATGGAGGCTCTCTGGAACTGGTCTCTGCCTTCTGACTCCTGTCACACACCTGGGTGCAGGGTCTGTGCCCCTACTCTAGCATCACCTTACCTGAGCTCCAGACCCAGACCTAATGGCCCCAGTACCATATCTTTCTCCAGGAAGGCCCCTCAAAGCCTTCACTGGAGGCATTAGCTTCTCCCAGGTAAGCAGATGTGCTTGTGCACCAAACAGCAGCACATGCAGTGTGCACGATGGCCAGGAATCTGCACAACCAGAGTGCTGGAGTCCCAAGCCCAACCTCGTCACCAACTGCGTGATGGAGTTGCCTCATCAGAGAAACGGGAATAATCATATTGCTACTGCAAGATGTTATCCCAGGATTGAATAATGTCATTGACACATTTCAGTTCACACAAAGTAACTGCTTAATGAAAGTTATCCTGTGTGACGTGGCATGGCCCCCATACTGGCGACATGGGCAAGGCTTACCACAGATGTTCAGTTAACTTCAGACTAATTGAGCCGTAGGGGAAACGTTCTCCCACCACTGACAGTCACCTCCCCCTGCAACCTCATACTCTCTACTTAGATGGTTGTCAGCAAGGGCTAGAATTACCTTGCCCTCTCATAGGTGTGTGTGTGTGGTTGAGGCCAGAACTCCACGCCATGACTTAGAAGGAGTAGGGTGTCTCCCTGCCTCTTCCGTCTTAATCCTTGGATGACCCAGGACAAGTGCTCTCACCCAGAAAGTCGGGATTCCCGATGGTACAATGGAAATGAACTGCTGTCAAGCTCAAAAAGATGAAGGGGCGTGGAGTGGTGGCTCATGCCTGTAATCCCAGCATGCTGGGAAGCCGAGGCAGGAGAATCAAAGTTCCTGCCCAGCCTGGGAAACTTAGTGACTTAACAAGACTCTGTCTCAAAATTAAAAAGAAAATGTGGTCTGGGAATTTAGCTCAGTGGTTCCACTGCCTCACAAGTACAAGGTCCTGAGTTCCATCCCCAGTACCAAAAATAAAAATAAATAATTTTTTAAACTGTTAAATGTAAAAAGGCTGGGGATGTAACTCTGTGTCAAAGCCCTGGATTTAATGCTTGGTGTAAAGAGACGGGAGGGTGTGGGGCGACAGCCTTGGCAGCACTTTAGAAGTGGAAGTGCTGATGCAACCAGGACTCCCATTTCCCTGCCTGCCAGAGCTGCACACCTCCCCTGCCCTCACTTTCACTTCCAGCAGCAACTCACTCACTCCCCAGGCAGGCACAGATGTCAGGACTCCGGTGCAGGCCACAGGTAGATCCTCATTTGCCCCTCCCACTTCCCTGATAAATTCTTTTTCTCCTCCTCCAGGGACTTTCCTAACTTCCTTCTGTAAATGAAGGAAGGAGCACATGAACAGACTGTATATAAATCTGCTTGGGAAAGCTCGCTTCTCTTCTCCTTCTTCTTTTTTTTTTTTTTTCTCTCTCTCTTAAACCAAACTTGGTTTCTGTTGTAGGCGGTGCATTCCCTTGCAGGGCAGGGCCAGGGGGAGAGGGAAAGGGGAGGAGAAGGCAGAGTGATTAACTCGCCCACTGTGCAAGCTTCTCCCCTATTTAATGGGGATCCCTGACAAGGCCAAGTCAGAGGCACCTCCGGGACAGCAGCAGCATGGCAGACGACCTGGAGCTGGGCTTTGGGGAAGCAGCCGGCATGGAAATGCTGTCCAAGAAGGTCTGTGGCGGCGGGCCCAAGGCCAGAGGCCAGCTGGAAGCCCGGAGCAGTGGTGTGTGCTGCCTTCTCACCTGCTGCCTGGTGTCACTTCCCATCCTCACGGCGCTCACAGCCTACCTGCTGGTCAGCCAGCTCTGGGCCCAAGGCGAGGACTGCATACAACTCCAACAGGTAAGCAGCTCTGCCCCACCTCAGCCTCAACCTACTCTGCCGGCCACAGGACCTACTCTGGCTTAGGCCAGAGCCCTTGAGACATCATGGTCCTCACTTGACTTGCAAAGGAAACAGACGTGGGGGGTGGAGGTCATCTGGGCCTCGTTATTCCCATGCTTCCAGGGGATGAGTTATCTTTTCTATGTTGATATGGGAGTAACTTCAGGTTCCATATCTTTAGAGAATATAATCCGAGTGAACTGGTGTACTTATAATTTGGTAACTTTCCTTTTCCTTGAAAAAACACTTACATAACTGACACGTGATTGCTGAAATAAGTAAATTAGAAATCACAGATTAAGAAATGATTAAGAAAATCATCATCACCCAAAAACAATTAGAGAGAACTATTAACTGCTTGAGGTATATAGTTCCATACTATTTTTAATAAAATGGTATGCTGAGTCTCATACTATATTATGATTTTATTTATATGTTAATAAATTTACAGCTGTATGGTGATATGGATAACTATTATAGTCCTATATGCATGTGCTATGTTTTATTTAACCAGTTTCCTTTCTTTGCTTTAGAAATATAGATTTCCCTTTTCTTTCCATTTCTTTATTAGTACATGTTTGTAGTACATAATGATTACTTTTCTTGTGGTGAGTTGGTATGTGTACATAACACATCTTAATTATTTTGCAAATATTATTTTTCAGTAGTCAATAAAGAACTATCTGCTTGGTCTGAGATCTCTGAGATCTTGCTGGAGCTGGGAAGAGGGTAGCCGAAAAGGAATGTAGGGTTCGGGAAACCAATGATGGGGGGTCAAGGATACAAGTGTCAAGGAGAAAACACAGCTCGTGAGTAGGAACATCAATAAAAGGGCCTAAAAGCCTTTTTTTTTAGATATTTAAGTAATTTTTTAAATGCTCCTGCATAATTTTGATTGAATTTCCATCTAAAAGATTAAAATCTAAAGGAAAAAAATAACTGGTTTCATCAGGAAGCTGGACTGTAAGCAATCCTGGCCAGCTCCCAAGCAGAGGGAAAGCTTGGCTAATGTGTGACTCTCATATCCCATTAAGGCTGCAATCTTGGTGACTGGCCATTGCTGGCAAAATGTAGAAATGTGCACACAACCTGGAAATGCTGCTGATGCAAGAGGCAAATCCACAGGGCCACCCTGCAGCTGGTACCCAGGAAAAGCAGGTGGACATGAGGGGATGTTGACCCTCTTCAGGCAGAAGGAGATAGTTGCTCTTGGCTGAGGTGCTGAGTGGCCTCCAATAGCCTGTGCACTCCTGGGTTCTAAAGGGAACCCCAAGATGTGATGGGATCCCTAGCATGATGTCTGAGAGTCCCCCATGCCAGTGAAGGTCTTTGTCCATTTAGAAGACCATGGAGTAGACACCACAGTCTAAGGAAGGGAGCTAGCTATCTTTAGACAGGAACCCTGAATGTCTTTATAGCACCCCAAAGCCTATCCCTATGCCTGCCCAACTTAAGTGCTTGAGCGATGAACAGGCTAATAATGCTAGGCACCCCACTGTATGTAACCAAGTTCCCCATAAGGAGACAGGTGGAGACATTTGGAGCATCCTTTGGCCAGGCTATGGAACTCGCAGTGCATCAGAAGAGAGAGACCGAGACAGGGCTGAGGCTGGGGCATGGGTAGCAATCGGGACCCTGAAAAGAATCAGCTGGCCACTCAAGAAGAGAGCATAAAGGAGAAGAATACTTAAAGAAGAGAGGGAACAACATTTGAGAAGAGCTTGTTTGCCAGGATGCACAAACTGGAAGGCAGCAAAGTACTGGAAGTATCCAAGGATAGGAGGAGGAAGCCAGCTACTAACCATCCCTTGGCATGAGAGGCCAGTGGAATCTCAGGGGACCCTGGGGAAAATGGGAGCCTAGGAGAGGCCTGCCTGAGGGTGAAGGACTCAGCAAAGAAAACTGTGACCAGAACAGGAGGAGGCAGGGAAGACTGGCGTTCTCCCACCCAGCCTCTGATCCCACTAACCAGACTCAACTGGGAGCCAGGCCACAAAGGAGCCAGGGAGCAGCCAGGCCCAAAGGCAGAGCAGGGCCCAGAAGGGCAGAGAGCGGATCTGGAGGGATCTGCTGGGGTAGGGGAGGAGCATTCCAAAAGGGAAACCAGGCAGGCATGGTGGTATGTGCTGTTACTCCAGTAGGCTGAGACAGGAAGGGCACAAATTCAAGAGCAACCTGGGCAATTTAGTAAGTTAGTAAGACCTTGTCTCAGAATTAAAATGTTTCATATGGGCTGGTAATGTAGCTCATAGTGAAAGCCTTAGGCTCTGTCCCAGAATTTGGCTCTTAGATACATCTGGCTTCTGAAAATAGGCTTGTGGCTTCTCTTCTTTGAGCCTATTTCCTCTACTACCAGAAGTGGGTATTAATGTCAATACGTGGCAGTCTTGACAAGGTCTGTACAGGAGTGCTGTGTGCATTTGGAACATGGGAGAGCTACTGTGAGGTTGTCACCACTCTTTGTCTCATGCCAGACAACTACCAAGGGAACTTGGTCTGGACCCTCAGGGAGCTTGAGGTCTGATGCAAGAGACTGATAAGGAAACAGCTATTTCAGGGTAGAGCTGCTGGGGAGTTCCAGTGTTCTCCTAGCCCAACCATGGAAGTAGGGGTGGCTCATGGAAGACTCCCTGGAGGAGAGAAAGAAGGTACCTGTGTCAAGAAAGTTATCCCTGAGACCTAGTCACAAGACCCCATTACAGAGAAAGCCAGTCAGACGATCACAGATCATTGGAAGAATCCAGCCTAAGTCAATTTTTTACAAACAGGGAAACTGAGGCTTAGTAAGCTAAAAAGATTTGTCCAAGCTTATCCCTCTATTCAGTAGCAGAACCAATATCTGAAACCAGGCCCACTGACCCCTGCCAGATTGCCACTGCCACACTAGAGGAAGAATGATATTAGCAATCCCGTGGAGAAAGCAGCCACAGCTATTCTCAGAACCTCGTGCCAGCTCCAGCCTGGAGCCTTCCATGCCAAATCTATGTCACCCCCAGAATCACATACCCATGTTTCCTGTGCTGAAGGAAGTTAGAGCTATCTATGTCTTCCCAGAAAGGAAAATCAGGATCAAAGAGGTAGCTGGAGCATGCTCATGTTACAAGAGTATAATTTAACACAAAAGCTTTTGGTCCAGAAATCTCTCCACAAAAATAGAAAAGAAACAAAATACTTTTGTTGTTGAATAAACCTTAAGCGAAGATGTGATGTGCATCACAGGCTCTCTGCTAGATTGCAAAGACAAGAAGAAATCACCTTCTTATGCAGGCAACCAGACACCACTTGGTCGACACAAATTGAGTGAAGACAGGCAGTTGTATCACAGCAGACACAATGGGGTACATTGCATTTCATGAACGAAGTCCCACATATGCATGTGCTCAGAAAGGCACAGAAATATCACAAACTGGAAACTCTTGCTAGTAACCAGGTGGAAGAACTGGGGGTCCTCAAGGGAAAGAAATGACACATTTATAAATATATGCTACCTTGTACAAAACTGTATGTTTTACCTATATGAAAAATGACAGAGGTGATCAAATATTTTCACCCCTTCAGGGAGGATACTAAGCAAATTTATATGTTGGAAAGACCATGGGTCAAAAGCTCACACTTAATCTGAATTCTGACCTTGCCACTGATTAACATATCGCCTCACCTTCCAGAGCCGAAGTTTCTTTACAAAGAAAATGAGGGCAATTAGAAATTAGTATTTCAGATGTCTGGCAAAGGGGTGGAATTAATAAATGGTAGCAATTATGATCATTACAATCAGGAACTTCCCTGCTCAAGGAAGTTATATCACAAACAATAACTTCACCTGCCCTGGAATCTGACATCACCAGGCCAGAGAGTTAGTTTGGACACTGTAGGTGACTATTTTTGGTCTCTGATATTCCCAGGCTTTCTCCATGCCTCCTTCCCCACCCAGACCTGCCCCACTACCACTCCCTGCCTCTGTCCATTCTTCACCCAGATGCACTTGACCATGGCCTGGGAATCTCTGGGTTCTGCAGTGACTTCCACTGCTCCCGAGATAGATCCACAGGCTCCACACTGGCCTACAGGTGCCTGAAGTCAGGCTCCACTTTCCTCGGGCATGGCTCTGGCACCCTGGGTAGGGCAGGGCACACTGACCTTGCTCAGCCCCAGCCTGGCACGCAGTGGCCTCCCAGTACTGTGCTATGAATTGTTGGGGACGCCTTCAGAGGCCCTCCTGCCCAGAGCTGCACCACTGCCCAGCTCTATCCTTCCCTTCCAGGTCCTACTTCAGGAATTATCGTCATGCACTCGCCCCACATTCTTCTTGGCTCCCACCAATCTCACTTTCACCCTTCCCTGAAAATCCCTGCAAAAGTCCTGGCCTTTGTTCCCTGCACAGCTCTTCCCCGACAAGTGTCCCTGATCTCTATGCGGATGAATAGGACCCACAGAGATGACAGCTCAGGCTTCAGAGCCACACAGACTCAGGAAAGTCATGGCTCCATCCAACACAGCCATGACCTTAGTCACTTGTACAGCAGATATCACACACTATTTTTCAATACTTAGGGTTCTGAGAAATCTCACCTATAAAGCGCTCAGTGTGATATCCAGCGCATAACACATAATACATGTTTGCTCTTTTTCCTACCCACATCACCTCATTGGCCCTTGAAATTACACTGTAAGCAAATGCTACTGTTATCTCCATTTTAGAGATGAGGAAACTGGAGGCTAGAGAAATTCATCAGTGTGCCCAAAGTCTGACGGATAAGGAATGTCACATGGATTCAACTGCACCATACATATTCCTGCTAAGCACCATGCTCATCTGCCTAACACAGTATTTACCTCTAGGGGTGATCATGAGGATTTAACTTTGAAAAGCCTAGCATATAGTACGTGCTCCGTAAATGCTAATACTCTTTCTTCCTCCAAAAGCAACTTGCAGTGCCTGGTGCACAGGAGACACTTAC